AATCTACGTTGGGTTTGCTTAAAATTAGAAACAGAACTATTTTCGACCTTAAGTGTATAAAAACTTGATCGCCTTTTTTCTTATTTTCTTTTTTTGTACTCGACAAGGGTAAAGTTTGCTGCAATTACTATTAGTGGCATAGTCCTAAGTTTTTCTTCCGTTTTCTGTAATAGTCGGCTAAAACAAAGAGTACAAGTCCCAGTAATTTATACATATATTGAAAAAATTGCTATTTTTTTTCTTTATTTCATTACTTGATGCTAGGTTTCATTTCATCCCATACGAGTTTCAACCTATCTAAGTTTTTTTTGAACATTCGAACGATCTGTATGCAGAACATGGCGACACATTTTTTCAATGACACTTTTCTTTCGTAACGTATTTGCTTTTTCTGTTGTCCTCATGTGCTTATACGCCTGCTGGAATTCAACATAGAAAAGCAAGACAACAATAAAAACAACACCCTCCTCTGAAAAAAAGTAAAAAGAACAAAAAAAAGACAACAACAAACAAGCAAAAAACAAACAATAAGAATAAAAAAAAATACATGCGGGAAAAGCAAATGATGCACATAGATTGCTATATATTACAACGTAATTACTTATATAAAAACACTTAAAACGAAATCAATTGAAAATAAACGTAGGTTAGATTTGACAGATACAGTCTTACGTGTAAGATTATCAGGTTCAAAAATCTTGGTACAGCGCAGTTAGACACGTGACCCTGGGCAACGCTAGCTCGTTAGTAATTACCGGTTTACAGTAAGGTAATGGTAGAGGCGCCCTAACCCTTTTATTCCTTGTCAAACACCTTTTTTATTATGTCATTTCTAAATTTTTGGGATATCCACATGAAAATTTGAAGTTGGTCAGCTTACAGTATTGAACCTGGTCAGACTGTATGGGTGTGCAGGCTGCCCCGGCTGTCTTCATGTCCATGGAGGCACACCTATCAGCTTTTGTTCCGTCAGAGAAGGCTAACTGTTGACATACCCTCAAAATAAAACCGGTGTTAAGTGATATTTTTTCTTTTTTTTTGTTAGTTCAACTTAAGACAGTTTGCTGGGTTTGCATTTGAATGGAATTTTACTGAAATCTGCTTTTGAAATGCCAAAAATCAAAGTTCTCGAAGTTAATTTAAAGTCCATTCGATGTGACTCTTTAGGTTACATACTCAACGAAATTTGACGTCATAATAATCTGTTTAAAATAGTTTTGTGTTTTTTTTTTATAACTTCTTATTACAGTTGAGTACAAATACTTTCACTTTCTATAACTAATTCACTTTTTTTCGAGTAAAACTTAAATGTCATGACTTACAAGAGTAAAGAAAGGCAATAAAATTCGACTTTATCGGTGCGTTTCGTCAGAAATTTAAACACATTTTGGTTTAGGTATTAGGGCGTTCAGAAATCCAGCCAATTTTTATCACTAATTTACCATGACATTTTAAATCATCGTTCTGAAATCGTTTTCTATATGGACAAATCACTTTAAGACGAAGATGATACGAGATAAAATCAGCAATTTACTAAATAAAGATATAAAATATTTGCAAGTATACATACATGTATATTCGTATTAAGATCGAATATTTGACAAGAAAACAACAAACAACAACAACAGTATATAAAATCAACAACAAAAACAACAGCAACGCGACTTTTTGGGTATCGTAGTCCCGAACACAAAATAAAAAACAACAACAACAATCGGATAAACATTTCATGTCATGTCAAATAACTTACAATACAGTGAACAAATGTCGTAAAAACTGATATCTGTACATGTGTATACCAGCGGTGGGAAAAGGGACACATTTTAATTGATTAAAATAACGGATAAATAACACATATAATATATATACGGTGATTATTTATAATATTCGGTCGGACAAAGGATAGCAAAAGATTTATGAGTGTTTATGGGTTCACACTGGTCAAGTGGATTAGAGCCGTACTTTCACAACAACGGTTTCTTTTCTTATCGTCTGCTCATTATTTGTGTTGCTTTGATAATATACAAACTATTTTTCACCTTCTACAAAAGCGACAGATTATCACTATTCGTATGACCCTTTCAAGGCGTATTATTCGTGCTAAAACAGTGTGAAATTGGGGATATTTCATTTTAGCATAAGGCTTAAAGAGAGATAAGGCAGGAATCTGAGAAACGATATACTTGATTAAGTATGCTATAAGAGATATTGAAAAAGAATCAATATTTGGTATGGTTTTGACTTCCAAATTGTACGTACTTCCAGACCACTGTTGTAAAAAGCATCATTTCTGTTGATTCATAAGTAAGGCGATTCTTTATAGGTTATATTGCCCAGTTAAAGCGGTTGTGAACTTATATCACCCCGTCATAAGGCGAGGGTTACATAGCGAGGCCACTGTTTAGTCGCACTTCATATCATTAGTATGCGACTTATACTCGTATATTTCAGTGTTTGTAAAGAGGGACCAGATGAATGTATCACATAACGAAATGGTGTTGTTCTCGTTTTTTTTGTTTATTGGAGAATATCATCAAGTGTTACATATATGCCAGCTAATATTTGACATAGTCTGATTGGCAATAATATCTATTAGCATTTAGTTTGCTGGTAATTACAAGAATAGTAAGCGTATAGTTAACATAGGACCGACAGTTCTTAAATAGCGATAAATGTCAGAGTTATATCTAAATACTTAGCCAAAACGAATTTCATTTCAAAAGTCATTATTATATGAACGTTTGTAAGATTCCCGCTTTTCAGATTCAAGCCCATGTTTTCATTTTTCATTAAATAAAAAAATGGGACATATGCTTACCAACATACGTGAAAATACAAATATCCTTAATTTGGTCATGATTTATATATTTTCAGGTTTCCGAGGCTACAGATAGAAGAGTCCGGAAGTAGAGCGTTATCCATACGATGGATACTCTGCAGCAGATAAAAGACGAATTCCTGGTCTGTCCAATTTGCTTACGTCACTATAAGGAACCAAAACTACTTCCATGTCTTCATACATTCTGCCTACGGTGCTTAGAAGACTTTGTGCATAAAACAGAAAACAGAAATCACATCGAAAATGGCGATACAACAGACGAAGATCATAACAGTGTCATTTTCAAATGTCCCGTATGTAGAGGGGACACGACTTTTACTCTTTCCGAAGATGGGAAGAAAATAGAAAGTGGCTTTTCCGATAATCATCTAATTTCAAACATTATGGAGAAAATAGATGTACATAAAGAAGAACAGATTTGTGAGTCATGTAGTGCCAGAGGTCAAGGTCAGAAGGCTGCGAAAGCTGAGGTATACTGTCAAAATTGCAAGGTCTCTTTTTGTGAGAGTTGTATTAAAGCCCACAATGTGATTAAGGCTTGCCGAGACCACGTAATAATATCATTAAGTGATATAAGAGTGAATCCGTTACAAACTTTAAAAAACACAAAACGCGAGATTCCGTGTTCAGAACATAAAGATAAGGTGCTTGAGTTCTATTGTTTAGATTGTCGTGTTGCCATATGCTCAACGTGCGTTGCTGTGCAACACAGACGATGTGAAATGGTCGAGACATGCGCAGACTCAGCACAGAAGCTTAAACCGGAAACTGATAATGTACTCAAGGACCTTGATACTCAAGAAGTGTCTCTTACAGACTGGCAGCAAGAACATTTGCGGGAAATCGAGGAACTTGAGGAAAACAAAAGTTCTCTTATTACCGAAATAAAAACAGTTCGTAAAAATGTTGATTATCATCTAGCCAAATTAGAACAATCTCTTTTAGAAGAGCTAGATGTTAAACACACTAATGCCATTATGAGTGTTAAGGAAAGACTTCAAGAAATTGAAGATTTGAAGAAAAATCTTGAAAACACGAATAGGTTCCTTAGACATTTGGTGCAATTCGGAAGTGATTCCGAATTTCTTTCAGTTTTTGACAAAGTCAAACAACAAATTATTGAAATGAACACAGGAATCAATAGGCGTAAGATAGCCAAACTTCTTTTCAGACACAAATTCGCATTAGATATGAATTTAAGTCGTATCTTTGACCTTAAATCTCTCGGAAAGTTAGTCGACGTTGTGGATATGAATAAAGATAGTTTTCCAATGAACGGAGAGAACGGTCTAGGCCCCCCTTCACCAGTAAGAAAGAGTTCAATCAAAAGGACTGGAACGTTTAGAGTTGATAAAGCAGAGGAAGAGCAACAGGCTCAACAACAAGAGAAGATCAAGCCACAGAAGCAGCAAATTGCTCTGCAACCTATACCGTCACAAAGCAAACATTCGTCTCGCAGTAGCCTATCTACAAACTCACCATCTACATCAAATGACAGCATGAGCTCTCAGGAGATGCTTGAATCGACGCCAAGACGTCATGCTGTTTCTATAAGAGCACGGCAACAACAGGAGACGTCCGCAAGACTTGCAGCAGGGTCCACTGGTTCCCTTCCTCGCGCGGCCAAACGAGTGAACAGTGCAGTAGAATTCCGAAAATCTCAAGCTGTACAATCCACTCCGTCTAAAGGTGCGAAAACACCCCCTATTCAAAGGCGACGTGCACAAAGCACGGTGAATGGCAGGCCTCCTGTTGGAGAGAAAAGCCCGTTAGACCAGAAAGAAGATCTAAAACTCCTGACCATGGCATGTTGTCTCCGACTGGAACTCCTGTTCTCACTAAGAAGTCAACTGAGGTGTTTTTATCACCACCTCTTGCAAGACGATCAGAAATTACTCCGCCAAAATCTCCAAAACAACCCCGACCTGCGCCACTCATGGACAAAAACCAATGCTCAACTATTATGGTGCTTTTAATGGACGCACAGAAAGTGATAACAAAAAATGCTGGCCTTTAGATGTAACAGTTCTTTGTGACGGGACACCAGTAATTACAGATTTCCATAATAAGAAGATAAAAGCATTTGACGCAAGCGGTTCAGTTATGTGCGACGTGTTATTACCGTCCTGGCCTCATGGAATAGCAAATGTAGAGAAATCCGATGTTGCAGTTACACTACCGGAAATATCAACACTTGTTTTTGTCACGAATAAAAACAGAAAAAAAAACACATGTGTGTAATAGACAGAACATAAGATAGTAAAAAGCCGCATTAAACAGAATATGCGGTTAATTTTGTTAGCTATTGAGGAATACCAGCAGAGTAGAGTAAACGGATGAAATCAATTGTTCGTGACTGCAGCTAATCTAACAAACCCCCAGATTTTTTTTTTTCATTTTTATCTGTTATTCGGGGAGGGAGGAGACACGTTTCCTTTTCTCCCAGCTATTGAGTGGAAATTTTGGTGACAATCCCTCAAACCAACAGTCCACCGACATCGCAACATTCCGTCAGAAGGAATCACAGCCACACGCTGTTCACGTGGCACCCATACTATGTGGACTGTTAAGTAATGGAAGGGAGATAATTTGTTTCTGATTGTGAGACGAAAACCCCGGGATTACTCTACCTTGACAAGAAAGGTGACGTGAAATATGATTACCTTGCCATACAGGTTGTTTATACAAGACCCAAGAGGTATTTGTACCGATCTTGACGGAAATGTGTATCTTGCCGATAAATCTGCGCACGCAATTCATAGTCTTACTTCCGATGGCCATTACCGGAAGTGTGTTGTGAGCGCTCGTGATGAATTAGTGCAACCCATAGCGGTTTGTGTAAGTCCGTTTGGACACATCATTGTTACACAAGACAATGGTGATATTAAAGTGTATGCCATTGATTGATGAAGTAGAATACATCTACTTCTATTTGTGTAAATTTATTGCACGCTAACCAACGCATGTGTTCCTTATCATTCAATTCTGGAATAAATAATACTTTGATTTCCGAATTATTATTATAAATTCATACTATCTAGTAAAAACTTGAATGGAACAGCTCTTGCAAAAAGAAGGAATATTCATTGTAGTGTTTTGATGCAAAACATTATAAAAACTTAAAATTCTATACCCGTTTTCTTTATTTTGAACATTAAATTATATAATTAATTTGTATATCATTAGTAAATATTTGCACAAAAGAATTAGTTTTAATATATTAAAAAGAAAATACTAATATATTTGAAATGAATCATTTTAATATATGTATATTTGTTATGTTTTGTTATTTACTTATTCAACAACCATTACACCAATGTATAGAGGCAGAAATACTAAAATATAAATAAAATTTATATGTGAGTTTATGCATTTCTGTATTTTTCTTGTTGCAATATCATCAATATTTTGTAGTATCATTTGAGAGAGAAAAAAATCAAACTAAGTCCTCGAAAAGGCAAGGAGTCAAATGGTGCTAAAGCTGACATCATGGGTATAGTTTATCATGCAATAAATAATTACATTGATATTATTTATTATTTCGCACCTTATAAAATATAACCAATGCACTTTCAGGATTTGCACCACCAGATGATCTAATATAAATCACTATTAGATTCAATCTAAACAATTAGCCTCGTTTTCATTTCCAGAATCCATAAATTTCATATCAAATATTTAACACACCCCATATAGCCTCGTTTTTAACTTTGGAGAGTCTAAAATCCATATCAAATCCTTATTGTAATTGAAGTAACAAAGTTCTGTTCAAATGTCAAATATGGTGGTGTGAAATGAAGAGGTCATTAAGCATTAGTTTAAACATATTTTATTGCATTTAATACATGTTTACAAATAAAGCATACAAATAAAGTATATATATCAAAATGCAAATGGGTTGGGCAACAAGTTCTCACAACATTAGATTAAGCCCTTCCCATTAAGCATTGTTGAGATCAACACTGATTCTTCTAGACTCGTCCACAGCTGCAAAACCTATATCAGACTCAGCGCATCGTCTAATATAGCTTTGACAGCTGTGTTTTCGTTCGATAGAATTCAGAAATGTACTCGACAATGTATAAAAACCTCATAGTTTTAGACAGATAACAACACCAAACCATGGAAGAATTATAAATCTATGGTTGTTGGCAAGTATGAGATATATTATTCAATATATTATATACATGTATTCATAAAGAAGATTAGAACAACATATTATAATTCATCACTGAATCGCTAAAAGACTTAATAGAAATTGTGCCAAAACTTTACAGGTATCGACCCACTATATGTTTTTGATTTTTTATATATCAGTCACACCATATGCTAAATTTTGAATTTCACAATTCCTATAGAGAAATCTATTGTCTATACCTTTGACCACTATCGAGTCAATCGATAATATTCCTTTATTCGGACGAAGTCCGTCTGTTATCAGTTTTACTTCCTGTAAAATTAACAGGGAAGGACTGAATATAAGAAAAATTGTCATTGGTCATTTTAAAATTACAAACTGAAATCGATGAATCTCATTGGTCATTCAACAATAAAATGTAAATGACAGTTCTAACCATTCTAAAATGAAATGTAAAGGTTAATTCTTACCATTGTACAATAACATTTTAAGGATAGCTCTTAAATAAAGTGTAAGGGATAGTTTTGCAGTTTTAAAAAATGTGAAGGATAGTTCTACAATGAAATGTATAGGAATGAGGAAAGTTCTTTAACTTTTAGGTTAATTTGTAAATGATAACAAAATTTATACAGTCAAAATTAAAACAAATAGCAGGCACACTTAAAACAGCAGTTGTCCTACATCAATATTATGTTCGTGAAGCTGGTAGCCCAGCAGCCTGAAGTTGGCAGCCTAACAGCCTAGCAGCCTGAAATTGGCAGCCTAACAGCCTAGCAGCCTGGCAGCCTAATCGCCTAAAGAAAACTAAGAATAGTACAAACATGAAAACAGTCGAAAATACATTAGTAGCACTTCTCTAGATCATTCCACGCCTTTTTCCAATATCGTGATCTTTATGATCTTTATTTTTTAAGATGTTAAACTTTATCTTAACATCATTTTTTCAAGTTGACGCTTCGAAATTTGTGAAGTTAGCAGCCTAGCACGATAGTACAAACGTGATAGGCTGCCAGACTGCTAGGCTGCTAACTTCACAAATTCCGAAGTGTCAAAATAAAAAAAAATTCAATATTTAAAAAAATAAAGATCGCGATACTGAAATAAGACTTAGAATGGTCTAAGTATGTGCTACCGATTATTTTTCGACGGTTTTCATGTTTGTATTATCCTGAGTTTTCTTTAGGCTGCTAAACTGCCAGGCTGCCAGCCTGCCAGGCTGCCAGGCTGCTAGGCTGCTAACTTCACAAATTTCGAAGTGTCAAAATAAAAAAAAAGTTCAATATTTAAAACAATAAAGATCGCGATACTGAAATAAGACGTGGAATTGTCTAAGTACGTGCTACCGATTCATTTCCGACGGTTTTCATGTGTTTTTTTTATCCTTAGTTTTCTTTAATCTGCTTGGCTGCCATTCTGCTAGGCTGCTTCGCTGCTAACTTCACAAATTTCGAAGTGTCAAAAAAACACAAAAAAACAACAACAACAAACAACAAAGTTCAATATTTAAAGAAATAATGATCGCGATACTGTAATAAGACGTGGAATGGTCTAAGTATGTGCTACCGATTCATTTCCGACGGTTTTCATGTTTGTTTTAGGCTGTTAGGCTGCCAGGCTGCTAGGCTGCTAACTTCACAAATTTCGAAGCGTCAAAATAAAGAAAAAAACAAAGTTTAAATATTTAAAGAAATAAAGATCGCGATACTGAAAAAAGACGTGGAATTGTCTAAGTACGTGCTACCGATTCATTTCCGACGGTTTTCATGTGTTTTTTTTTTACCCTTAGTTTTCTTTAATCTGCTTGCCTGCCATCCTGCTAGGCTGCTTCGCTGCTAACTTCACAAATTTCGAAGTGTCAAAAAAAACCCAACAACAAACAACAAAGTTCAATATTTAAAGAAATAATGATCGCGATACTGAAATAAGACGTGGAATGGTCTAAGTATGTGCTACCGATTCATTTCCGACGGTTTTCATGTTTGTTTTAGGCTGTTAGGCTGCCAGGCTGCTAGGCTGCTAACTTCACAAATTTCGAAGCGTCAAAATAAAGAAAAAAACAAAGTTTAAATATTTAAAGAAATAAAGATCGCGATACTGAAATAAGACGTGGAATGGTCTAAGTATGTGTAGCCGATTCATTTCCGACGGTTTTCATGTTTGTACTATCCTGCTAGGCTGCTAACCTCACAAATTTCGAAGCGTCAGAATGACTATTCTTAGTTTTCTTTAGGCTGCCAGGCTGCTAGGCTGCCAACTTCACGAACAATTCAATATTTACAATTGATTTTCTTAGCTATAAGAAATAATTATTATGTCATTGTTATGCTAGCATTGCTTTTTTTATTGAAAACTTAAAAATAACATAATTTTGCATGTTAACCATTTTCACTTCGGCCGAGTATCTTTTTTTTTTTATCAAGATACTTTTTGTTTTTCACCCTGATTCTTTACCATCGGAATTTTTTAAAACAGTAGAAACAGTTCGTGTATAGTACAGTCTTAATCTTTCCGACTAAACTATGAAAATGAAAAATGAAAGCATTAAATTTGAAACTCAAAGGACACAGATGTGTGAAGGTTCAATTGTGCCATTTTGTACTTTCGCTCCGCGGGCCGCCGGACGTAAACACGAAATTACGACAAAGTCCACATTTCTTCGTACTTTTGCTCCCCGGGACGCACGGCAAAAACACGATAATTAATACAACAAAGTCACCACTTTGTTGTATTATAGTGTTTTCGCCTAGCGCCCCGCGGAGCAAAAATACCACATGGCACAAATCAGCCACCATACTGGGGCAATAAATACTTTAAAACACGACCACTATAGATCATTTAAAAAGAAGCACTCTAGACCACAAGGGCCAGGTCTAACTCCGTCATAAAGTGGCACTAAGTATTACAATCTGAAGTTGATTTTATCGCATTATTTCTCGTTTAGTTACAAAAAAAAAACAAAAAAAAAAAAACAAAAAAAAAAAAAAAAAAACAAAAAAAAAAAACACAAAAAAAAACACCAAAACAATTCGTTTCATTTTTATAATAATATTGTATGAATCAGTAGCTTTAAAATAACAAATGTATACATTTCTATACATGGAATTGGGCCAAACGGTTTTAAATCTGATCATGTCTTAAACCAATCAATTTTAATGGCTGTAATAAAATGAAAATCCCAAAAATTAACGTCATCATGCAACCGTATAAATTTAAATTACGGAAAGTATCTTAAGATTCAAATGCGCAAAATATTATTACCTCATGCTGTCATATTGGCATGATCTGTTTATAAAAATAAATAAAGTTATAAAATGTATTACGTTATTCTTACAAATAGATATCAACTTCTTTCAATTACCGAAAACATTTTATTTATAGAATGTATACTGAAGAAATAATATATTCCAAACAGTGATTCATTGAGCAGTAAGATCACTGTTTGGGATATAGATCTATTATTTCTTAAATAAAGTCTGTTTTGGTAAAATTATCACTAACATTTATCAATTTAAAAATGTCCACTGGTAAACAATTATAAACAAATCTGATGTAATATCAACAGGTTTTCGGATAGTAATAATAAGTATATAGATAATGTACTGTTTACTTTTATATCTATAAAATGTAAGACGTTTACCCGATATATTGGAATAAACTAAGTCAACAACTCCTCATTTGTTTCATGTTTAGTTCTTAACGTAGGTTACATCGAAATACCGCAGAGAAGAGAGATGCCAAGAAGATGCGATTGTATTTAAATACAGACTCACCTCTGCATTTTGTGCGTTTTTTTAATCAACAATATAAGGCTTATGATATTATCACCAAAGTAAAAAAGTAATGAATCTTATCTGAAGTATCAAAAACGGTTGGATCCCTATCCGAAATAAAGTGTCATGTAAGCTGTCTTTCAGGTATATTAAAATCAATTATCTTATGACGAAATTTATTAGGGTGTAAATACCGGTATATGCTGTCATAAGAAATCCTGTTTTTATTTGTATGGTTCGTCAGACCAAACAAATAACGGTAACGAAATTTCAGACCCTGATTTTCTTATCTGCAAATATCGAAATTAGTCTAAACTCCTCGAAGCGGTTACTTCCCTTCATCTGTACATTAACGCCGACAAATTAAGGGGAGATCACTGCGTAAAGATTGTCAAAGAAAGGCGCATTAATTTTCGTAATGACAAAAAAAAGTTCCCGATTGGTCGAAGATTTCTAATATTGTGTTATTCTTATAGATATACATGCTTATATTAAGCTCCATGATTATTTACAGATAGATAGATAGAGTAGGTAGGTAAGGAATGCAATCATAAGTAAATTGTACCTCCTTTCTGAAGAGTATTTCATTTTCAGTGAACTTAGGGTTTGGGTTCAAGCCTACTGGCAGTCTTTTTTTTTAAATCGTTCTTATAGGGTAGTTTTACAATTTAAGATATTTTTATTTCCAAAACCTTATTTTTTGGCAAAAATGTTCGAAATTGTAATTAGATAATAATTTTATGAAGACACAAAGTTGAAAATATGAACCGTTTTCTGAAAAAAATGGCATATACATGTACCTGTTACAATAAGCTAATTCTTTTCATTGCTTTTGCTTCTTTTCATTTCAAACCTGTGGGTGTTTCAAGTGCCTCTATCTATCTGTGTAAATATAACTGTATATTTATAACCAGTTCAATTACTTTGATATTGATTAAAATCGATATACCGAATCGAAAAAATTTACAGTATTGATATTGAACAACTTAACAACTTATAATTATGTTTTGAAGTTTGCATTAGCGGAGTGCGGAGTAGAACAATGCAGTGTCCTGTCGCCCTTGCACTTCTTCCTGTCACCCGACTTGGTCATGAGAAACATCACAGAATATAGAAGACGGGGTTTACACTTTACAGAAAAAAAACTTTATAGAGAAAGTGGAGGAGGCAGCAGATTCACCACAATTGGAGACTGCGACAAAGAATTTGATACCAGGATTAGCAAGGCAAACCATACATTTGCAATGTCGAGGCCCAAATGGAGATTTACAATATTCAGCATCCACTCCAAGATCAGGATTTTCTACAGCAATGTTCACACTGTCCAACTTTATAGATCAGAGTGCTTGAAGACCCCTGTTGCAATTGAAGAGAAAGTCTTTCCAAAAATCCCTCAGACGGATATGAAGTTATTTTGGCTTAATACCATTTCGACGACCTGGTTAACATTACAGGGACGTCACCGATAACAGAGATCATCCAAACAAGACGCTGTAGATGACTTAGACATTTTCAACGCATGCATCAAGAGTCTTTACTCACTCCATAGGGTTGCTCTCCGAAGGGCCTCCAAGGGAAAACGGATCAAAAGCCAGGAGGCGAACCGTTCAGAAGGACCATAACAATCGCTTCTGTAATTCTCGGGTTCATCGTCACGAATTCACAATTTCAACTTCATGAATTCACGACTTCAACATACAGAAATTACGGTTTCAACTTCATGAATTAAAGATTTAACTTAATAAATTCAAGATTTCACGATTTGAATTTCACGAATTTACGAAGTTGAAATATTGAAGTTCAAAACATGAATTCATGACGTTGAATTCATGAATTAAAATCGTGAGTACGTGAATTATGTATTATATAATTATTAAATTAATCTCAATTCTCATTTGTATATATTTTTATCTAACTTTCAGAGTTATAATTAATAAACTAGATTGATGTTATAGATAAGTATGATAATTGTTTTTATTTACACATAGATATTAGTTTCTAAATGCAGATTATTATACATTGTATTTTCTATTTTTCTATCGATCTGATAAAATAAAAGAAAGACAATGCAAACGGGAAAAGTGAAAGATGTAAATAATCTGGATTTGTAAGGGGTGCAGGGGGAGTACTATGGAGTTGTAGGGGCGGGGCATCTGTGGTGAAGTGGTTATGGTTGTTGATTCTAAACCACTGGCCCCTAATCGCTGTTGGTTCGAAAATAAATTCAGCGTAAATGGTTTGACCCGTTTTACAAACTTTTTTTTTTCATACAGCGTCCAAAATTATCTCAGTGTCTCTTTGACAAGTCAAATTAGTTGGACTAATAATTCTATGAATGCTACTGACCATGGTAGCCCATTAAAGGCCAATTATGCCCCAAAAATGATTTTAAATTATTTCTCCAAAACGTGTTATTTTTGGTGTCCTGTTATAACTTCCAAAAAGTTACTCGATGGGCAATTATCTGAACCAACTTTTGCTTCTGTTGCTTTTTAGCAATCAGTATAGTTGATTTAGTATTTTGTATGGAAGACAAAATACTACTTTGTTACTTTACATGTTGCTACTTTTATGTCATATTATTTCACATTAGCGATACTTTCTTCAGGGGATAAGGATGTTACATGCTCTAATTCCATTGTTATTAAATTAATTTCTGTCCTTTCCAAGAAGAAAACATGTATTCGTATCTGAGGTATAATGTACCTTTAAGCAGAATTCAACATTTTAATATCATGTCTAATAAGTAAAAAAGAAAAAAATTGGTATAAATTAAAGCTGCACGCCTCCAGATGAGAATTTTGCCATTTGTTTATGGAAAGGATTCATATTATGGAAAGGATTTATACTTAGACAAAACAACAAGTGTGACTAAACTGACCTATTAAAATTTAAAAAAGGAAAAACTTTTTATCTATAATTGTCTTTTTAAAACATTTATTTGTTTGCTTTTAGAAAAATTTTGAGAGTTGAATATTGTTCAGCAAATTTTCTAGTGGTGTCTGTATGATTTCAATGATAGTGTTTATTTTTGGCATGCAAAACACTAAGCCATCTTTTAAAATTATAATAGAAAATTCATTGTTTTCAAATAGCATAAATGTTAACTTTTTTTCAAATTGCTATTTTGATACCTTGTTTTGTCAGTTTTTAAAATCTCTGAAATATTTGCTGTTTCTATTTTATTATAATTTTTATTCCCCTCAAGGGAGACATGATAAAATCGCACCGTCTGTCCGATTGTGCGTCCCCACTAAATTCGTGTCAGCATTACAACGATATATTCACGTCCCTACCTCAAAGGTCAAGGTCACATTACCATATTGAAGTTCACTTTATCACAATTATAGTTTATAGGTACACACATTCGTGTCCAGGCTGTAATTTTGTCATGCATCTAAGGATTTTAAAATAACTAGGCATAAATGTCTACCACATCAAAACGATGTGTCGCAGCTAAGGCTCATGTCCATCTGTCCGCGTGTCCCCACTTACACAACAATCATGTCCAGACTGTAACTCTGTCATGCTTTGAGGGATTTTGAAATAATTTGGCACAAATGTTTATCTCATAACAACATTTTGTCGCGTCTAGGAACCAGGTCCCTTCTTCAAAGGTGAAGGTCACACTTATATTTTTAAGGTTCATGCTATCACAACTAGAGATTACAGGTACAATAATACAAAGAACAATATTCAGCAATTAGTTACCTTCATTCTCTTTTCTTTTCATAATACCTGCATGCTTAAGAAACTTTTTCGGGGGCATTCGTCATTTGGGTGACAGCTCTTGTCTTTGCAATATTGATCTTCATTTCAAATAAACAATTTTAATAAGTCATTTTAACTGATCATACTTGACTTATTATTTTGTGTGAATTTCATGAATCTCTCAGGATGAAATTGTGACATTGTTTAGTCATGTATTGAGAATCTCTGATAGTTTATCCCTGATGGAACACTGATAATGCATATTAACTGAAAGATATTTCCTCCATTTTCTGAACACTACCCAGTCTATATGCACATGGGTTCATGATAACTTGAATATCAGATTGATACTAACTATAATCCCCAAGAATGAGCATGCTTTTAATATGCCTTATAAGTAGATGAAATTAATAATGCTTAGCCATTGTTTAATAGAGGACTTGGTTATCTACTTCCAGCTTCTGCTTTTGTCAGTAATGTACTTTTAAAATTTATCAAACTTTCGAAGTATCATTTTAAGGTTATAACGCAATTTGGTTTTTCGATCTCAACTGAAGTACTTGAGAAGAAAAACTGGTTTTGAGTACTTTTGATAAACAGTGTTGTAATTGTTGGATGTCAATGATAAATCTCCCTGAATTAAATCATATGGCAACATATTGCACTTCCTTTGTACTCAGTCATTTCGGCTTGAATATGACATGACCTTTTTCAAAAAAGTCTGACTGGAAATTTGGCCTTTCAAGTGATCACCAGCGGTATAATGTCATATAGATTTGTCAGCGCAAGCGACCCTGCAGTGCTTTCAGTGCTTTGATTCTCTTAAAATTGCACCATGAATAAATAATAACTTAATACGCTTTTAAGTTGAAAAACTGTGATCAATATTTCAATGAATTGCAAACAAAAAAAACTGACTTAAATCAATACAATGACAAGCTTCGGCAAATATCCACAAATACTGTATAATAGAAAATATTGATTTCTAACTATATTATGTTTGTGAAAGGATCGTCTTTAAAACTTTTCATATTTACGTGAGATGATATATAATTCAAGTTATAAATACAATTAAGTTATATATCTGTTCGATTTTGACACAGATATTGTTGGAGAATATTAAACTGTGTCCAAAGGAACTTTAACTTGCGTACATTTAAACCACACATCAAAAATGGATTTTGAAAAACTATTTCAGCACCCGGAATATGAGAACTACGTATGTGTAAACTTGGCTTTAGTGTTTGTATGTCAGTTGCTGAAGCCCTACACGGAACAAGGTTTACAACAGGTACATCAGGATATAAAAAATAAACTGGCCGGAAAGTCAAAATGTACCGGAACTTGTGGGAATCAACCTTCAAGGTATGCTGATTTAAATATAATGAATAATGAAACATGTATACTATTGTTTACCATTGACCAAGATGCAATATTAACACAATCAATACGGCGGTCTCCAAAGAGTTCAAAGAGCAAAGTGAGCTAAACTGTAATGTAAATATGATGTAATAGGTACCAATTTCAAGAGTTTCTGCCCGAAAATAAGATATATTTGAGGGTAGAGGATAGTAATAAAATTATTAAAAGAGGAGAGTTTTATACCACGTTAACTTAAAAGAAAATATGTAATTTGTATTTACATCATTGGCCTATCTAAGTTTGAAGATATATTCAGATGTAGATAGTTTAAATCGTAGTTAAAAATATTCTTTGAGTATTTTTGTACAAAAAAGTAGAGGAAAAAGTCTGAAAATTCTATCATTTATATAGGTAACATGTTACTCGGTTACGGACTATAGAAGTATAATAAAATGATACATGAATGAATTGAGACTGGAATATCATTTAGTAATCAATTCACGTTGAATTTTCTTTTTTTAGATGGTGTCAGCCTTGTAAAAGCTGGCAAAAACCCCTCCAAAGTCATTCTACAAAGCGCCCAATAGATTGGACGAAACATACAACGGCAAATTGGGAAGAATCTTTTGAAAATATTGCTAGTGTTTTCACAACACTTCCCGGAGATGGTACACCAGCGAATTACCTCGATCTCTCAAATGCATGCAGTATATGGGAAAGATGCAAAGCATTTGAAATGAAGAAAGTTGTAATAAATAACGTCAGGAAATGTAGAAATAAATATTTTGCCCATAACGACACTCTCCGCGTTGACGGGAATAGCAAGGCAGAAGTTTTTGATGCATTAAGAGATCTTCTTAATGACAAAGACGTTGGAAGTCACATCGACAAAATATTGTGTATGGATAAATTACAAAAAATAATGAATACACCTTGTCTTCAGAACACAATTTCAAACATAAAAAAGAATTTTGATCACCAGTCCGAAAAAACAATTGAGAGCTTGAGTAAATCTACTGCAATGGTCAGTGAAAAATGCGAAATTTTGAAAGACATACAATATGAACTGAAAAAATTAAATCAAAATCAAACACGCGTCAATTTAGAGATAATAGATAACCTTCATGACATTTCAAAAATGGTTAAAACTACAAACAAATCTTTGAAGAAACATGTATTGGCTATGTTTGTGTATATTGCAGTCGCTTTTACGATTGCTGGTCGATATATTTCGGGCAACAATAAACCTGATTGGAATGGCATCTCATCTAATAACATGGCTAATAATATTCCTGCTGGTAAGTTAAAGAACTTTGTTTTTATATCATTTGTACTTTAAAGAAATAAACGGTATCGTTATACATAGAAACGTATCAATGCATCATATTGAAAGATTAAAAGTGGTAAACTTTTAGAAAATTCTGCAAATTTCATGCATTTATTATTTTCAATATTAACATTTCATTGAATGTCCTTAACCTTTATTTGATTCATTTTTATTTTTTATTTTGTGCAAGAACATTTCGTGTAAATCTATGTGTTACTATACTAAATATTATGATGTATATATTTAACATTTCTGTAGAAATTTCGCATTTGACGAAAAATGATGTTCTAAATTTAACGTGCAAATTCGCACTATACCTATAAAAACTTACATTTAATTGTTTTACTTAAATTAAATTGCAATAACATTTTAGACGTACTCATTCAAACTTATTATTCTCATGCGTGGAACGTTGCATCTGATAAAGGGAGCGATGAATTTGATAAACGAAACGTTGCATCTGATAAATGGAGCGATGAATTTCATAAACGGAACGTTGCATCTAATAAAGGGAGCGATGCAATTGATAAAGGGAGCGGTGCATTTTATAAAATTCTATCAAGTGATCAAACTAATGTCACCTCCGTCAAAAGGATTCGTCGTTCAGTATTAGGTATCAATTAATACAATTTTATTGTTCTAAATTAATATCATTAACATATTGTCCTTGTCTTTCCAACCAGATTATATTATGTTGCGTGACAAAGGATAGCTTTTTACAAAATGCATAAATATGTATAGTATATTCATTGTTTAAGTAAATATTTATATCTTTATTGTCCAGTAGGCCATAGATACTTCTAGTGATAACTTCTCAATGGCCAAATATTTAGCCGTTTTGTTTTGCCTTGAAGTAGGATAGCATACTTTTAAAACAGATTTCTATGATGCCGAAAATTATAAAATGTAATGCTTCGTTCTTGAGAAAAGAAAAACTTACATTTACATTAACGTTTTGATGCAATCCAAAAGGTGACTGTATGAAAATCTCTTGCCTTTTCATCTAAATGTGTGTTTCATCTAAATGTGTGAAGAAAATGCAGCTTCACTTGGTTTCTGCCTTAATGCCAACATAAATCATTCAAAGATTTTTTAAAAAAAATTTTGGACAAAATATGATAACTATAATATTACTTAGATTGAATGATTATAATGTGGCACACAAATCTTCTCAAAGTTTGATAATGACACTTTCAAAACTTTTCTGAATTACATTATTTAATCTATTTATTTTATATATCAACCATTTAAGATAAGTATACAAAAAAACACATTTTAATTACAGAAAACAACCCAAGTATTTCTGTTTTAAAAAGTTCTAGCTATTGCTACAATCATTATTGTTTTTTCCCGATGCGGTTGCTGATCCCGTTGTCGTCAACCGAGTTGTTAAGGTCGTTGATGCCCCACAGCGCTGTGGGTTCAAAACCCGACAAGGACATTTGTTTCTTTCATATAAGGAAGCTATTCAGCTAGCTGAAGGAACGCCGGTGGTTCTTCTAAGGTGCCCGTTCGTAACCCGAAATAATGCACGAAAGTGCACCTGAGGTCTTCTTCCACCCGTTAAATCTGGAACGTCGCCATGTGATATATAATGTGTCGTGTGACGTAATACTCAATCAAACTAACAAAATATCATCGTACTGAGGCACAATAAGCTCAAATCATTGAATTTAACTAAATTGTGACAGATGTGATTCATGCTTAGAAAAAATAACACTTATGTTTAAACTGACATGCTGAATTTTTCAAATATGACCTTGACCTTTAAATGACATTGTTCTTTAAGGTCAAACTATGAAGCTTAAATTATCATAACTTTGTAATTTACTGATGCTCAGATAAAACGCCACATATGACACAGCAGATGTGTTAAATTCAAATAAGACATTGACCTTAAAGTGAAATTGACTGTCAATATCAAGTCATTTAATGTTGTTTCAGTGGGCTATTTTTCATGGTTGTACAAATTTTACCTATATTTTGACAAAAGAACACTTACTGCAAAACTGACATGTTTTATCAATCAAGTTTGACCTCCACCGTCGGGAGACTGATTTGAATTTATACTGGGAGTAAACATGTATGACACCACTAACTGGTTGAATAATTTAAGTATGACCTTGATCTATAAATAACCTCGACTGCCAATGTCGAATTTGAAAATTAAATTATATTTTGTACTAAACAATGATGTTTTCATGGAGGTTTTTTTATTTCAATACTAGTATTCTTTCTCCTATGTTTTTTGATATTGGTGGTAGTTCTTTCTAAAGATGTGAGTCTGAATTTGAATATCAAAATCAATTTAAAGGCGTTATAAAAATATTTTCTCACTTTCAAAAACTCTTTTTTCAGAGTCATTTAAAGTTGATGATATGCTAGAATGGCTTCACTGTGAGCATTCAAAATATTTTAACGCCTGGAACGCGACATTTGACCAAGACATTTGACCAATGGATCATTTGTTCAAAACATTTTGATGATGTAAGTATACATACAAATTTGATTTCTATAAGTGGAAATCAATTTTCAGACTAAAAATATGTCGTATAATGCTAGGATAAGTTTATGTGAGTTCTCAAAATACATTGCTTCTCTTTAATTTAGTTTACACTACTAGAAATTTATCATCTTTCACTACGGCCAAAAACGTTTTGAAAATATTGTAGATATACCACTTTGCTAAGCACCAATGTTTTTCTCTATATTGTAAAAAGTATGATAAGGATTCAATTATTCACTTTGAATAGTTTGATTCAGCAATGTTTTATCAGATAGACTTCACCACGTAACAGAAATGTAATATTACATGAAAATGAATAAGTTACTTCTAAAATTAAAGTCTTTCTGACTTGTTTGTACAATCACTTGAATTGAAATCTACTGAAATCTACAATTCTGTATTTCTTGTAGTTTCCAGAATTCTGTGAATGGGCTACATTTTTTGCGTATGAAGAAGAGTGGGGACGAAATTGAACGGACTCGCATTATAGACAAACGGAATAATTTCTTTGTTCTTTCTTTTCTTTTGATGTTTTAGTGTAATACCGGTATATGACTTGCATGCATTTATTTTGTGTATAGAATCCTGATTTACTTATTATGCTATAACTCAGTATAAAAGCTATGGCACACTGTTAGAGCTTTTGCTCATTATAAGAGCTTTTCTTCAGTTTTTACACGCTGAAAGAGCTTTTGCAAAGTTTTAGAGCAATTTTGGGATCTTGCTCGGTGCTTGAGCTGTTGCACATTATTTAAGCTATTGCACAGTGATAAAGGTCTATCACACTGTAGGAACTCTTAGTGTTAGAGCTATCACACAGGGCTAGAAACATTTTCGTCATATGCATTTCATGTTTTGTGCACACCAGAACCGGGAAGGAAAGAATATCTCCACGAAAACTTTAAAAAATCATTGAATTTTTATATAAATGTTAAAAACAATTGAAAAATTACCCCTGAGATTGACCTATTTTCTCCTTCACATATGGAGTTATTGCGCATATCTGGATGAGCGAAAATTCACATATTTTTTTTTATTTTGAGATCCATATGGGGTTCCAGCTCCAAGATAAACATAATTTTATTATTAGGCAAGGAAACTTAACGCATAACGATGAAACAGACAACACCTGAACAATTCCATAAAAACTAAAATATCTTGTGGTGTTCAAACTTGTAGTGGACTTTTCTAGTGCCAGCAATACTTTGATTATTGTTTATTATTATTAATTTTATTGGTTGTTGTTGTAGTTGTAGTTTGTTTTTCAGCTCTTATGCGATATAATTAAGCAGAGACTTGTATAAATTGAACGAATGTTGAGGTCTTTTTGTTTTCTTCAGAAGCTAATTAGAGTGCCATTTTAAACTGAACTACAAGTTGTAGTTATATTTATGTATATCTGAGTACAAAAGCAGTTTGTTAGGTTCAGCTGTTTTTAATGAATTTGTCGTAGTGTCATTGTTTATTGTTAACAAGAGTTATAATACATGTTTTATTATATATTTATTTTGTCAAGATAATGTACAAATAAATAAACGAGATATAACGAAAACATCTTTCTATTGAACTACAATCAATACACAATACCAAGCCATACGTCCTAGAAAATCATTACTCGCACTCACTAACATGTATGGTAGGTCGAAAATCACAATAAATTTGTCACGTGATGATAGTACATGTC